AACAACTTTTTGTTTTCTATTTATTTAAAGTGACAAACTCGAATAAAAGTTTTTACATTATACTTAAATTTTTTTAAGGATAACAAATGTTATGGATTAAATTACAAAGAACAACTTAGAAACTTAAAATAGTTAATTTCAAAACAAGTTTCGTATAAATAATTGCGTAACTTCTCGTTTTTCTAAAAATGTTAACGGTTAAATTTAATATAGAAAAATATATATATACTTTTTATATTATATACGTGTCATAAAAATAACTGTTTTCTGGAGTCGGAACACAAAAAGATAATTTTTTTTTTTTAACTTAAATAATATTTTATTTGTTCTAATTTTAGAATCAAAATATAAATTACTAAATTAACGAGTTTGTTATTATTTTAACTTATATGAATCCAAAATATACTACATACTTCTATTACGATTATAGTCCAAAAAAAATATTTTAAATTATCTGATTCAAATAATTGAATGAAAATATTTAAGAACAATAATTTAGGCAAATTGTAAAACAAGGTTTATGATATATGAGTAAAAATTTTCGCAATATTGTTTTATTTAATATGACAGTCAAAAATTAAATTAAAAATTACTAAATGGTTAATACATGTAAATTAATAAATAAATAAACATAAAATTAGTTAATGTATAGAAATAAATGAATGCTTAGCCCGTGGAATTATTAAATTTGTTAAGTGCGAACGGTTTCGAATTAATAATTCGTTGCCAGGTATAAACAAAGTCAACAAAATCACGACTTCATATTTAACAGTTCACATTTATCTATATTCGTATAATCTATTTAGATCGGTCAGATGTTGATTTATTTTTTTATTTTTTATTTTTTTTTTTTTAAGAAAAAATTACGTATTCTATTATTGTTTCTATCAATAAAGTCGATTACAATATTATTTTTTATAAGTTCAACCATGAAGTAAAATAAAATACGTATTGATACTATATATAACTAATATTTGGAAAGCTTTCTTTTATCTAGACACTGCGATATTTATATTTATATAATGCAACTAAAGTTTCAAAAGTAAAACAACAAATATATAGTTTGATCTTTAAAAAAGATAAGTACAGAATAAAAAAAAACATATTTACTCTGTACAATATAACATAGATTTATTATTTATTTTTAGCTTGGTTCTATCAATAATTCATAGAAAACTTAAGAATTTATATTTTAAAATCTTAAATCATAAAGCTTTTAAAGTCTATACGAACTTTGTGGTAGTTTATTTTTTTATGTTTTCAACAAATTGGCAATTTTTTTATCGTCTAGGAAAAATGTGGATGATACAAATTTAATTTATTTCTATTTCAGGTTTGCAAACAAAAGTGACATGAAGCTTTTATTAGATATTTAATTTAGCCAACTCTTTTTCGAACATTAAATCAAACAATTATTTGATTTTAATGTATATATTGATAAAGACCTCAGGTAGATCTGATCTTTTGTTGTATATTTGTTATTGGTTTTGTATAAAGTAATAGATATTATCATAAACGGCAAATGTTTGTTAATACTAAGATGATTGAGAACAAAGAGCTTTTTGTTAATTTATGTCCAAATTATCGAAACAATGTAGATGCACACACAAAATATACTTTCACAAAAATAACGGTAACATAAGAATTATGATAAACATTCTCGTTTAAGTTCATTTTTTTATTTTTAGAAAATTAAAATATTTACAATCTGCTTTTTCCGATGAACTCAGACAAATGAAAACTTTTCGGTGATAGCATTTTTTTAATGCCATAATGCATTCATAAATTTGCATCTTTGCGTACTCTTCCTAAACAGTTCACCAGTAACAATAAATTATTTGCACTCAATAAATCACATTTTTCCTGAAATATGATGGGAAAAAAATGAAAATAAATCTAATCGTGAACTGAAAAATGTAAGTACTGCTTTAGGAACCTTAGAATTGCAGGAAGCCAATCATAAAATGTAAGCAGTGCGAAAAATATGACAATAATACAACGAAAATACAATTTCGTCGAGTGCATCGAAATCTTTTGTCGTCGCCAATGTATCTGAATTGCCTAACCAAAGCGCCGTTCGTTATTCTATGCTCACGACCATCTACAGTCGTACGGTATTTAAGGGACACGTATGTACGTTCTTACGGCTAAAATAACATTTCACACATGTTGGCTGTTTTTATTATTTCGTCGAAGAAATTATTTTTTATCTAACGTCTTTGCCGAGAAAATTTGATATCAGCCACGCGGTTCTAGTTTACTAACGAACACGGGTACACGTTCCACGGAAGTCGCTTATTTTACCCTTTGCGTGCGCGTGCTTCTGGTCCAATCGCAGCCTCGATTGATTAGATAAGGTATGTCACACAACGGGTCGCGTTGCAAAGGAAAAAATATTCGGTATAGTTTCAAATGAGACATACAGTGGAACGAATAGGATCGGAAAGCATCAAAATATTTGCATAAGAATATTTCGAACGTATGCGCGCGTAGTTCACCGCATCTTGCCAAAAATATACTTTTGGTGTTCTTTTTTATTTCATTGAATTTTGAATACCACCCGATCATTCACTACAATGTTCATTTTTCAATGAATGTTAGATGAAATGCAGACGTTAAGTGCAAAAATATACATTTATATTGGAAACATTTTTTATGATAATTTTTAAATATTGAAACAATGTCCGAAACTTTTCATTTTGTCACTGCCATTATTTCTAATATCTATATCGTTTCGGTTCATAAGCGTGATGATGAACGGTTCGTATCGAATATTGTGAATTGCATATTTATTTTTTTCGTATGCACAGAAAACATTTGATTCTAGAACAACTGATGAATCGTTTTGAATTTCGTATTTTATCCAAAGTATTGTTAGCTTCGATTTTATCCATGTTTCCGACCGTACGCGTAATTTTTGCACCTATGATTTTCGGTGATACGTGTGATGTTGATCTATACTATTAATTTTCAATTCTATAGAGTTATCGTTTACGATTCGAGCACTAGTAGTGTTCCCTTATCACCCGATACATACGAGTAGAAATAATTTTAAAAGATAAAACATTCGATATCGTACCGTTGCACTGTTACACATGATGTGTAACACGGTTTTTACCGAAATTCTAAAAACGTTAACCTCTTTGTAAGTATCAGGTATTGGTCCCCACAACGGCTCGTCGAATTGAAACGACTACGTGCACGAATCACGGTTTTTTGCCGTTCCGGCCGGTTCCGGCCGGTTCTAAAAGCGCGCAGCGAGAAAACCCCCAACGGTAGGAAGCGAGTTTCCAAACGATAAAAATATCGTCAATTTCGATTTTTATTAGCGTTTTTTAGTTTATTTATTACCTTAAGTCCGTAAATAAAATGAAAAAAGAATCAAAGAAAAGTATTTTGAACTACTAAAGCTAGATTACATCAACATCTTCAACATTGTTTCTAACACCCCCCCCCACCCCCCCAAAAAAATAAAAAAAAAATTCTGGATACACCACTCATAACTGATTCACGAATCCGATGTTTCCGGAGTGGATCGAACCATAATCGGATTTACCCAATGACGATTCACGTATTTGCGATTCGACCTGTCTCGGACGACGAACACAACACCACGGCCGCTGTAATGCCCTACTGCCGGTCGAGTGACGTAAGATTATGACTTTTATGTATTTCATTTTCCCATCCCACTTGATCGGATTTACGGGCGCACAAAGGCAACAGTGAAGTTTTTAAAAGGAAAAAAATATTTAGTTGCGTTGGCGGTAGAAAGTTGAGAGTTACGTACTGGGTGAATATAATTAAATAATAGGTTATAATGGTTACATTGTAAAACCAATCTGTTGTTGAAAATGTGAAGGTAATAATTATACTATTATAATATTACTTTATAATAATATCTACGGTACATGAACAGCCTCAAGGTCCTAATGGCTATCAGTGGGCTAAGCCCCTAGGACCACCCCATTTAAGCTATTGTTTAAAAAACACTTGTTAAAGGCGGTTCGTTGCCATTACAAACGAGTGTACGTGTACATGTCGAGATGGTTCACTCGTGTTTCTCACCGGTTTCGGTGCATAAAAGACGTTTATGATTGTAAAACATTACATCGACCGCATTCGAACTGGCTATGTTTTTCATATCGGCGACGAAACGATTTTCTACGGACTAAACCCATGGTAGCTGTACGCTATCTATGCGTTACATCAATATTCATACATTTTTTTTTTACACTCGTCGCGAGACTGTTCGATTGATCGTTCATTTATTTATTGATTCGTTAAACATTTGAATACCCGTCAGCGGTATTTTCAACTTCGATGCGGACATGCGAACCATTTAGAAGAACGAGACATTTTAAAATCGTACGTTTAGTAATCATGAATAGAATCAACGACCAATTTGTATTTACCACGGAGCTGAGTTAAGAATAATACGATATGAGAAATGAAATAAGAAAAAAACTTTTGTTATCTCGTCAATAAATCTTCGGAACAAAAATTAATCGTCTATAACTTTTCGTCCGTTATTCGTAAATAAACGTTAACAAGTAGTGAACTCGATCAACCTGTAGAAGTTGTGGTTAATAAAGCATTTCCTCATATAATGCGATTATTAAGCTATATTAATTTTTCTCGAGTGTTTAAATTTAATTAAGTTGACTGTTTAGAACTTACGGGGGAAAAGTATTAAAATACTACAACCACCACAACAACGTTTTGTTTATCAAACTTGTAAATAAGTTCGATTGCTGTACTTAAATCGATAAACAAATTATATAATAAACATTTTAGTATATTTATACATTTTTACCAGTCAATAATACATATTAATAATAATAATAATAATAATAATAATAATAATAACCATATTAATAATAATATTTATAAGACCCCCTTATACTATTATTTGCATGCAAATGTAGTATAATATAAATAATACGCTATTCGTGCAAAAATTATTTATTTTTATTTATATATATTCAAATGTAAAACTGTACCGAAATATTGTTTATGAACCAATTAAGACTAGATGCTGGATATGATTTAGCCGACGTACAGTTCAAATTGATCGAGTCTCCGAACTGGTAAATAGACTTATCACCAGTGATATAAGGACCGTCTTTCGGCAAATCTGTAAAAATAATGAGTATAATATTAATAATAATAATTATAATATAGGTAATTATAATTTTTATTAAACATTTCACAATGGTTTATTTTATTCTAGTCTGTAAAAACTTGATAAACTTAATCAACTTGATCAACTTAAATTGATTAATTATCATACTTGCTTAAACATAAAATCAAATCGACTATTATTTATTTTGATATTTTAAATATAAATAATTACGTCTTTTATTTTTATATTGGCATGTTACCAATTCTAGTTTTTAAAATTTATTAAAAAACCATTTAATAACTTCTTGCTCTTACGCAATTTGTATATTCTAAAAGTAATTTGTACATTCATTTTTGCATTATAAATGTCAATAATGTCAATCAGACCTGTGTAATAATACAACCAAGAAGCATATTCACCTATACTCCTAATGTTTATCGAATAAATCTAATATTCTTTATTTTTATCAATAAGCAATGATTTTTTTACCAACAATTTGCTCCGATTATTACTTTCAATTATAACAAAACTATTTAGAAGAAGTTCTAAGATAATGCATAGTTAAAAGATAAATATGAGTGCATTAAGAAACATTATCTTCAAAACTATAGTAAATAAATGTATATAACTTTATTTTAATTATAATCTTAAATTTTTTTTTAAATTAAATTCATACATCCAATATAAATAAAGATATATATACTGTCATTATTATTGTGTGTGCACTTTCATAGGCTATAATAATTTATTTTTATATTTTTCGTAATTTAGGATACTAAAATAATAATAATTAAATAATAATTTTCCTCTTTTCGAGTCAATTTAATCAGTAAAAAGCGACAAGCCATTCAATAATTTTCCCATATATCTTAAAAAATACGTATATTAAACCATTTTCTCTCTTAAATTATATCAAACCAATAACCAATCGTATATCGTACTCCTAGCGTGTATTTATTAAAGTAAGATTATTCAAGAACATAAAAATTATATTGACGAAATATCTATTGATTGAAGTGTAATAAAAAATTATTTTAAAAATGTAAGATAATTTAGGAACACCATAACAACCAACAACTCGTAAACATATTATTTTTAACGAAATATTTATGCCAAATCCTGAACTTGAAAATTATGTTTTAATAAAATATGGATCTGTAGTACTTCACTGGAACGAATATACACAATTGAGTAGATTTTAAAGGATGGACCAGATGAAATTAGCTTTTTTTAAAAGACATTATTATATCATGTGAACCTACAAACTTACAAGCTTAACGTATAAATTGATACGTAGAATAAATATTACAAATTATTGCAAATTAGTATATCTGTGAACAAGAAAAAATCAAAAACCAAAACAAGTTGTGAAACTAAATCAGCTCGTTTTAATCAAATGCCTAACGGAAATCATATAATTTTAACGTTTTCGCCGGTTTAAAATAATTATAACACCGGTAATAAATTTTACTTCTGATCTCCATATGAGTTTTGTACAGGGATAAGTGTACGTGTGTTCCTTGTTGTATAAATACTTCAACAAACTATTGTTCTCACGACGTACCCTTGACACGGTGTTCTTTCTTAACTAGCTCCATTATCGAGTAGAATGTGTTGGCCTCGGTGGATTGTCTGATAATTAATTTTATAAATTAATAGTGATCCCGGTGTATAGTCAACCATCGATGTACCTAGATTTCGGAAAAGCATTTAACCTGGTTAATTACTGAACCCAGATAATATCTCAGATGATTTTATGCAGTCTTCGACGGACCTCGTTTAACGTAGTTCCGATCATTTATTATGGAGATAACTCCTCGGATTAACCATCAAGAGGTTAAATCTGATTATGTAAATATATCTATCATATTTTCTTAATGCTTTGGACAAATACTTCATCTTTCTCATTTTCAGTTACCGTCACCTTGTTAATTTTAAAATATAATTAAAATTATTTTTAATGTCTCGGCATAAGAGAATTTTGCTTTGTTCTACGCATCAATTTTTGTGAAATTGACCATGTAAAATCAATATAAATTTGATACCTACAATTCCAAATTTCAGCAAATAATTAGATTTTTCCTTTTTTTATCACCAGTTGGCTGTCGTTTACGACTTGAACCCTTACATCTTCCCAAATTTACTTTCAAAGACAGTGTCGTTACTTCGATGGTACTTTATCGTCTTAATAATTTCATGTTAATATTTAATAGTTAATAATGTCGACGAAAAAATATCAACGATTATATTTGCGATTTGACACAACTATATTCAAGTTATTTTTTTCCATATCTTATATAGGCACTGTATCAGTTTGACCACCACAGCCAAAATGTTTATAATAAACGCAATCATAAATATTTAATACATTCGAGTAAGACAAGTACAACGATGAATAACTTTTAATTTAGTGCGGGTTCGTTCCGATACAGTATTGAATATATTTCGGTGTTGGTGCGCGGTGTACACTATAATATAATTATGTGTTCTTACGCACAGAGAGTATCTAGATAGCGTCGAGCAATACGCATCAATTACGTACGAATACGTAAATGCCTCCCGCGTTTTAGTGGATAGTTAATCAAACCGATAACAGAAATGGTTGATACTTTTTCCTGTTTTGAAATCGGTGGTTTGAAAAATAAAAATACCAATAGTAATAGTCTACAAAGCGCCCGGTGTATATGTATATTTTGCGCGTAGAAAATCTGTTACAGTCCATCCGGTTCTTCCGAATCGATTTTAACGCGCCCATTTATACGAGTACGCCCACGTGTGTATTTCATTTTTATATTTGCTCAAAGGTTAGAAACTCATGTGAGGTACACGGATTTGCAGAAAATTGACTCGAATACGTTGGAATGGTTGTGTAGACCACGCGAAAACAAAAGATTTCTTCGATTTAATTAGTTAGGTAAAAGCCTTTTATTTTATTTACACGTTGTTTGTCTACGAGATTTCCCTGACGAATGGTTTTTTTTCTTTTTGTTTTTTATATTTTTTTTCGCTGTCCGCACCAGACGTTGTACGTCGCGCAACTAAATCTTGTCCGGATCCGCGGGCAGTACACTATCGGCAACTCTCGAACGCGTGGTGACGCGTAATGAATTGCCGACATTATTCCAATCGTCGGTGAGGTCAGCGGGTACACATCATTTACGTTCCACGTGCACGAAAACCGGGCGAAAGACGTGCGCCGGGAATGTTAATCCCTGTACAGTATATCCTTTATATAATATTCGCGTCATAATGATCTGCGCGCGCTTGTTCGACACGATTCATTTGAAATCGAATTCTCCGTTTCGCGGTTACCGCGTCGAACGTTTTACGCGCACGTCGTTCCGATACGGAAATGGAGCTAGTACCATCATTCTAGGGAGGTGGCGGTCCAAGGAGGGTAAACGTCGTAACGATAACAATCCTAAGAGTATATGTGATAATTTAACAAAAGAAGAAAAAAATATGAAAAAAAGGAACGATACGTACACAAAACAAATGCATAATAATATTTTCTATTGCCCGTTGTTACGACGGAACAGATGTATACAGTGCGCGTTACGACATTCGGAGGCTATCCGATGGTTCCGCGTCGGATTATCTAGAAAATTGCAATACAAACCGAGTAGGTTTTACCGTGCGTGACCCATGGGGAAACTTTATGTTTACACAAAAAAACAAAAAGAATGATGTGCAAATCACAGTCGATTTTTGGATTTTATTTATGTAGAACAACCGTAGGTGAAATCGTTTGGTAAAAAAAAAAAAAAAAACATTGATATGTCAAAGTTGTAAATAAGTCCTGTAGGTTAATAATTGCCATGCAAATCGATTTTACGACCAAACTAAATCGTCATGTTACCGAGCAGCTACGTTTACTATACCGATTTCCGAGTAATAATATGTTAATTGTTTGATAAGAAAAAAATAACTCGGAACACATTAGCCACGTCGAATCGCGTTGATAATTCTACTGGCAGTTAATATAATGATCATAAAAAGTTTCACTCTCAACACATAAGTGTTAATTAATATCGCATTGAACTTGGCGAACAGTATTGTAATAATATCTTCCCCCGGCCGAATCTCATCAAAATGGTATTAAACGGGATAGAATATATTCACTTGATAATATGGTTACTGAATTATATAACCAGAAGATCACTTTAATATGATGGTGCAATTATTTTAGATCTCGTCTAACAGAAATTATTTTCAAACTGTGAAGGGTATATTAATAATATTCTCCGACGACCGTCATAACAATAATTGTTGCACGCGCACCCGTCAACGAACCAATGAATTCAATATTGAAAATTACCGTGTTTATTTCACACGAATGATAAAGCTCAGTGAGACCGACTTCGGGATGTACGGATTAACAAATATATATATACAAGCTGATATACTCGGTTTCGCTCAGTTCGACAGTTCGATTTTTAATTATTAGTAACAGTTGATTTTATTATTTTAAATTACATTTTTTCTGTTAACCTTTCTTTAGCTAATGCCGGCAGTACGTATTCACCGAGACAATCTCGGCCACACTCTGGGCGAAAACTCAAGCTAACCGAGGAGACGCGAGTGCACGCAGTACTCCAGTTTTGACTTTTAAACAGCGTATTGTAATTACCTAAACATATCTTGCAAAAAGAATATTAAAAAACGTTGGTTGATGGTACATAAACACGCGTCTTTGAAGTCTTTTTCCATCCTTGTGGTGTAAATTTACCGCCCATATAATGGGTTTATTCCGATATAACTCCAAAAACTTAAACCGCACATGACACGAAAAGTACAACTTACCCAAAAACTACCACCTTACGTCGAAGCGAGTTGATATGAGCCGAAGACAGCCGAGCACGTTTAGTTCACTCCCATGCTCGGTGACTCTCGTGATGTTTCGACGAATGCGTAATGTCGATATAACACAAATAAATTCGCTTGTTTCTCTACACGTGAGCTTGCAATATACAGATGCCCTTGGGAGAAAGATGGATATTCCAAGTCCAAGC